GGGCGGGGGGGGGGGGGTGCGGGGGGGGTGCGGAGGGGGGGGGCACAGGCCCAGGTGTGAAGGGATTCTGGGGGAGGTGCTAAAACTGTGAGCCAAAAGCAGAAAAACAGATCTTGTTAGGTAACGGATTTCTATGAATGAGGTTGAATTCCTCCCACTTGAAATAGGTGATTCTTGTATCCAATGCCATACTGATGTCTGTTTTCTTATCTGTAAAAAGCAGTGGGCTGTCCTGTGTCCTTGAGGAAACTGGGTAGAGGTGAGAATGTGGGAGTCGACGGGAGATTAGGATAAAATGTCCCGTTTTTATCCCGTAAATGTAAGCAAAGTGCCATTTCGCTGTACTGCACCTCAACCTTCTGGCTACATAATTAAAAATTGATGCATATTTTCACAGATTTTAAATTTTGAGAGTTTAACGTCTCCCATGGGGCCAGCTTGAGAAATGAAACGGTTTTGGGACTGATTGAGGAACCGCATTTCTGGTCGTAAATCACGCGTGAAAAGTCAGGCTGAAAGATCCTGTGAGTTTAATGGCGCTGTGTTTGATTCCGGTCCGTTCTCTGGGACACGTTTACTTTATTCATCAATGTTTAAGCTCGGAGGTGATCAAAGAGACTAGGAAAGGAGAATCCTGAGAGGTGTCACTGAACAGCCAGGAGAAAAGGGGTAATAACACAAAATAAGGAGGAATGAAATCCAGGGACACCATGTTTAGTAAATTCTGCTGAGAATGGGCATAATATACGTCGACTAGTCTGTGTGTGTATAGGTCACTTCTCATCCTTTAGAGTGTTATAAACTTTGTTTGCCCAGAACAGGATTACCAGTGAGTCTGGGGAAAATAAGGTTATGACATTCTGAGATACAGAAGAGTGTTTAAGTGGAAAGGCTTACACAGAGTGCTGGGATGACGGGGAAACTCGGAGTTAGGGATCAGCAGAGGTTCCGTAACTGATACCAGTGACATGTGGGAGCTGGAGAAGGTCCGGTGTGTGACAAACGTGTGGCGCTAGTGGGGAGAATCGGGCCAGAAGCAGGTGAGGTGGGCGTGGAAAAATGTAGATGCAGGTCCTGAAAATGAACGTTAGGTTTCTGTTTTCTGGTTAATATCTTCCACTTTTCACTAGGCGGTTCACCTTTAGTCCCCATTTTTCCGGAATGCTCCCCACCGGCCTCTGTTTTTCCGGAAGGTTCCCCTCCGGCGTTCGTTTTTTTCCCAGAGCTGCACACACCTCCCTTACGCGAAGCCATTCGTCATCTGCTACTTGACTTTGATATGGTCATGTGACACCATGCGCCCCCCCCCCACACCAGGGGACTGGCGATGGAAATCCCAGGTGGGAAGTTTCTGTTTTTCGTGAGTGAGTTCAGGGTCTGCCAGCGCGCTCCGGAATAATTTTCACCTCTTCGGGGGCAGCGGATGTGCAGTGCCCCCACCGCTCCTGCCCCCACCGCTCCTGACGCGGGGCCAGCTGTACGTGTTTGTTTTTCTGCATGACTGCTGTGAAGGAGATGAGTGTAAATCAACGTTCCCCTTGGCAGAGGGACATCGGCTGGCGGCCTGAGGCCAAGCGCCTCCTGCTGGTGATGACGGACCAGCCCTCTCACCTCGCGCTGGACAGCAAACTGGCGGGAATCGTGGTGCCCCACGACGGCAACTGCCACCTGGACTCCGGCGGATACACCCGCAGCACAAGCATGGTGAGCAGCGCCCCCTGGGGGCATCGCTTACTCAAGCACGGTCAGCCCCCCCCCGATGCTGTCGTTCATGTCCAGAAACCAGAACATGATCGCAGGACATAGCGGTCCAAGGGGAATGTTTGGGACAGGATGGCAGAGATTGGGTGAAACAAACCATCCAGAGGCACTAAACGACTGCTTCTTCAGTCTTGCTTCTCATTTTTATAGTACCAGATGCTTCAGCTACTCAGGGTCAGCGGTGTGACTCGTCCACGTTCGGAGCCCAACAGTCCGACTGCAGACGTAGTTGAGCGTCACACCTCTCCATAGCGGCTCCTTTGTTCCTTGGTTCCAGAAGCTCTGACATGCCAGCTGCCTACTGGCACAAGGGGGTTTCCTACTGGTCTTTGAAGGGGCTTTAGTGCCGGAGGTGCAGAAACTGACACTGCTCCTCTTTCTCCCCAGGAGTACCCCACCATTGGTCAGCTGGCAGAGAAGCTTCTGGAAAACAGCATCCACTCCATATTTGCAGTGGAGCATGGGCAGTATAAGTGGTATGAGGTAAAATTTATTTCCCACACACCACAGACACCCGTTCTGATGAAGAGACCTTCGATGGGTGGCCCTATGAAAAGGCCCAGAATGTTCTTTTCTCCTCTCACAGGATCTGGCCCCCTTTCTGCCGGGTGCTTACGTGGGCAAGCTGCAGGCCAAGGCCTCGAACCTGAAGGACCTGGTGGTGGAGGCCTATAAGGTAGGCCTCAGATTGGGGGGGGGGGGGGTTCACGCAGGTCACCAAGGGGCCTCATGAATATGCGAACACGGGTTAATATCTTCCAGAGTAAAAGTTTTAATCGATTGAAAAGGTCTTACTTACATTAGTGCACTGTGCGGGAAAAGAGGACGGAAAGTACCCCTTTGTCCCGAAATAGCAGTGCAGGCGGGGGGAGGGGGGGATTGTGGGCATGTGCTGGGGGCATAATCTCGTCGGAAGCACAGCAATGCATTGTGGTCTCCTGTGAATCTGCAAAAGCTACAGTGCCGAACAGAGACATGCATTATTAAGGAGCCGAACCCGCTGCAGTGGCCGGCCACAGACCGCCGCTCCGTTCCACACAAAGCCGCTATTTTTAGTTGCCTGTTTTCCCCGGAAAGACCTCAGTTTAGCATAAGTGATTATGCTGGGGTACAATACATCCATTTTGACACCATGTGACAACCACCTGGCTCTCTCTCTCTCTCTCTCTCTCTCTCTCTCTCTCACTCTTCTAGAAGCTTCTCTCGGACGTAGAGGTGGAGGTTGGGGTTCAGGACCAGCACGCTCACAGGTTCTGGGTCAACGTCACCGCCGTTTGTCCGACAGGCTCTGCACCTTCTGGGCTCAATAAGTGCTCCGGTGTGCAGCCAAATCAGACGGTACGGCCCCCACAAACCCCCCCCCCCCATTTTGCTTGTTTGTTTTCTTTCCCCTTTCCCACTTTTCACCATAGGAGCTTCTCAGGCTGTGTAAATCTCCTTAAGACCCGCTAATTAGCGACACCTATGCTGGCTAGCCTCCCCCGGCCACAAAACAGCCGCTTTGTGTGGCGTTGCGCTAATTTCCTGCCCCAGTGTGAAGCTTGATCGTGCTCCTTCCGTTGGCGTGAGATTCGATTCCTGCAAGCACACGGAAATAAGGTCAAACGAAACCAGCTTCAGCAAGTCCTTACTGTCCAGATCCCCCCCCATTTCCGTAAACATACTTTCTGCTTAGTAAAGATCTGGGATCTCTCTGTTTGTTCAATCCAGCCATTCGATATTTACTTTTTCGCATTTCTTTTGGTTTCGTTGTTTATGATGCTTTTACTCAAAGCAGGACAACGTTTGTGAAACAGGCTGCTCCCCCCTCGCCTTTACACTGCAATGATTACTCATCTGTAAGCAGATCACAGAGGGAGTGTCTTTTTGCATTTTTTGTGTGTGTGAAATACCAAGGGGGGGGGGGGGGCGGTGTTTGGGTACCAGCCCCCGGGTGTAGGGGGGTTGGCGGGAAGCTACTGCTGAAGGCAGAAACAGCCGTTCGCTCGGAGAGGGAGCGCCAAGGTGTGGATCTGACTTGGGTCGATCTTTCTGAGCTCCTGACTGTTCCTGATTGCAAAGTGGGAGCAGCCTGTAGGACAGGCTTTTCCGAGACAACCTTGAGCGTGTGATGTGACTGAGATACGAGGGGGCTGTGAGCTCACGTCATTTACAGGAAACTGAGGGGGTACAAAAATGTTTTGTTCTTGTAACGCTCACTCATAGCGAAAGGCTCATGACTGTAGGAGAGTGCAGCTCTAGCTCTTTGTCCTTCACTGTCTTGCACTGATTTACTTTGGCACCCATTGGTAACAATTATTTTTATTCAGGTGATTCTTTTATCCCTGGGGTGGACTATTTTTTTGACAAAGTACTTGGGAGTTAAGGTCCTTTGTCACCGTCCAACGTTGGACTTGTTCTGCTAACACTGGGATTTGAACCTATGACATTCTGAGCACAGACTTAGCATTCATACCACCCGGCATCCTCAATTTACTTGTTTTCCCATCCTGTCCTGAGATGGACACCAAGCTCACTGTGATCCAACACCGAGTAAATGATTATGGAAGATGGATGGATGGATGGATGGATGGATACAATCTGAGAGAGTTGAGATCTGTTTCATTTCTTTGCCCAGGTGTTTTTTAACATCACCATAGGCATGAAAGACTGCCCCTCTGCACCAGAGGACGTCCTCATCTTCATCAGACCTGTGGGCTTCAACGAGTCCAGCGTGGTGAGGGTACGGCCCACCTGCCACTGCAGCTGTGGGGGGCAGCCTGGCTGCCAGGATGAGCTGGAGGGGCCAGAGTGCAACGAGGCCAGCGGGGATGTGGGCTGCAGGCTGGACGGGACGGGGGCCGTGTGCAGCGGCAGGGGAGAGTGTGTGTGCGGACACTGCATCTGCGAGGCGTCCAGCCTGGGCACCGTCCATGGAACACACTGCGAGCTGGACGACTTCTCCTGCCCGTACCGGCAGGGGCGGGTCTGCGGGGGTGTGTGCGGCACGGCGGACACATACGCACAGGCACGCACAGGCACGCACAGGCATGCACAGGCACGCACACAAACATACACTCATTCACAGGCACGCACACACTGACTCATGCACACACAGCTGATCAGTATTATCAGACATAACGCAGTTTCCTGCTGGTTTCGTACTTTTTCAAAGGAAGCCCTTCTTTTGCTTTGTCATACTTTAACTGTTTGAACCTTCAGTACATTTCTATACATCATATTACTTGCATGACCAGGGGGCACCTTGGTGCAGTGATTAACCCCCTGGCTTCTCCAGCTAACTCCCCCAGTCCAAAAGCAAACTGTGGTGAACTGGACTTATCAAACTGTCTATAGCTTGCCTTGTGACGGGTTGACGCCCCAGTTAGTACGGATGGGTATTATTTACATACAGTGGTCAGCACCATGGTAAACTTTGACAGACATCCTTATCAAAATACAATATTTACCATGGACATAGTGTTTAAAAACATATCCTACATAGTTTTTTTTTTTTTAATTTTACCACGAGTCTTGTCACAGACGTGTTTGTCGTCAGGTCGACGATCCCTGCTTATATATCGCCGCGTCCGTGTGTCCCTCACAGGCCGTGGTGACTGTGTCTCGGCCGCGTGCCGCTGTCACAGCGGCTGGACGGGGGACAGCTGTCAGTGCCCCGCCTCCACAGAGCCCTGCCTCTCGCCCGACGGGCGGCTGTGCAGCGGGAGGGGACGCTGCGTCTGCGGAAGGTGCGAGTGCGACGACCCCTGGAGCTCCGGAAGGTTCTGCGAGAAATGCCCGACATGCGACAGGTCCTGCCAGTCACACTGGTAATATACGCAGAGTTACTCAGTTACATTTAAGGTATTTAAGGAGGCTTGGACCATTTGAGATGCGTGCAGCATATTTTATCGGTGGCAGTGTGTAGCTCAGTGGGCTGGGACACTGCCTGTGATCGAAAGGTTGCTGGTTTAAGTCCCAGGGTCAGCAGAGCGATTTCACAGCTGGGCTCTTGAGTAAGACCTTTAACCCCCAACTGCCCCAGGGACAGTCTGACCCTGCAAATGCTGCTTTAGATTAAAGCAGCCGCTATATAAATATCACGTTTTTGAATGAATCTCCTGACGCAACCTGAAATAACAGGACTTGATGGCGACATGGCGTTCCGCTGACATGCCAGCCTTTCGTTTCCCGTACCAGGAAGTGTGTGGACTGCCACCTATCGAAGGGCCTGCTGGAAGGGAACGCCGA